GTGTCCTTACAACATGAGATGAGATACCTCTGGATGGCCTCCAGGAAAAACAAAATATCCGGGGAATTCTCCAACTTTATTACTTCTCTGAAGCACAAGTATTTTCTTGTCAGAAGTCTCCACAAGTGCACCATTACCCAGGGGACTTGATGTGTGTTGACATTGTATGCAATCATCTGCAGAAAACCAAGTCACATCTTTTAGCACAAAAAATTGTGGTCTCGCGAGTTGGAATATCAGTCGGAATCATTTTCATCATTTTGCATATACTTGAAGTCTCTGCTCTGTGCAATGTTATATGCAGTTCTGCATCACATAAGAACCTTGTAACATATCCCTCTTAGAATTCTTAAGACATCAAATTAGATACAGACCTTATGTTGGAAACCAAAAGAGTATAGAAAAGGAAACTAAAAGAAATAAGAAATATATTGCAGTTTATGATAGCAGATACATTAGTCCCCCTCTTTTGTAATTTTATGCATCTTCTTGATGCCAGCAATGGAATCAATTACTTCTTTTTTTTTTAAAAATGATAGCAGATACATTATAGATATGCAGGGTACAGTCGTTTCCTTCGGTAGAAGAAACTCAATAAACAATTGTATTTCATGAAAGTTTACCTTCAGATTGAACAAGATATCTTTCCCATATAGGACTTAAATTTGTTCCAACAAATGTCCTGAGTAGAAAAGCGCAAGTGTAAGAATATCATTTTATTTCCTAATTTGTTCCTTATTTTTGCTCTTCTTATCGGGTTAATGCAAGGACGAAATTGAAGTGTTGACGGCACATTGCAGGCATACACAAATTCTCATATTTCACCCAAAATTTTAGCGACACAAATAACGAACAATTGTTTAATAATTTATCGTTTCAACATTCTGATATAAGTTTGGGACAGTAACATTAGCATGTCCATATTCACCGGACGGATATACATTTTCCATTACATGCACATTAAATGGAAAAACATGTAGAATAAAGGAAGGCAGGAAGGAAGAAGATGCAAGATAGCGAAGAACCTATAATCTGTCAGACCAAGCTGAAGGGAAACATGAGGCTGTTGCTTGGGATCATTTCCTACATTGAAGTTGTATCCTCCATACTGTAAAGTATTAGTATATTTAACATTCTTAAAAGGAAAATTGAGAAGGAAAAAAAAAACAAAGATATGCAGCTTCTATGCATATATCATATTTGGGTGTATCTGATAAACAATAAATGACTAATTAAACTCTCCTATAAATAATGGATCTGCAACTGTGGTCATCAAAGTGACAACACGACATTGTCCAAATTCTGGACAGAACAGATATAGCCAAACTATCTATAGTTCAATATAAAAATTAAACGATAAATGCAATGGAAGAAGAGTGCAGCATACCCTAAACTTCGTTCCATTGTAAAGTGATGAACTTTGTTGAACTCTTGCGTCCCATATCTAACAAACCGACAACACATTACAGCAATCAAAAGATTCAGAACAAATTCCGGTATTGGTCCAAGTTAGTACTTATAGCTTTTTGATCTATCAGCCTAAACATACAGACAATTACCTAGAAAATTAGAGTTTGGTATTTGGTCTTTTAATCAAGTGTGATTCTCACGATCAACAAAAGAAACAGCGTTATTTGCATAGTATTAATTCTGCTTCATTTTACATGAAACCATTACTATTTAGAAATCAAACATTTTTTCTTAGACCATGATTTTTTCAAATGTTCTCTAAGCATTTCTAATTACAAAATTGTCATTTAAAGGAAGAGAATTAGAAACAAAAACCTCGGAAATGGACTGCTCCAAAGAAGAATCGGGATGGGGAATCCTGTCGTATGCTTCATTGAAAACAACTGAAACCTTTTACCCAAGTACATTCAGATTACAAGAATGAGCATAATAAATATGTAGAAAACGAAGAGAGAAAACAGATAAGTAAATAACCTGTGAAGGAGATAGGCCAGAAGGACATGAGAGCAGCAGCTTGAATTCGTGACCGCCGTCGCAGCTGATTTTCTCCTCCATTTCTTCTACACACACAGAGAGAGTCGAGATTGATCAAATTACAGGTAAATTGTATGAGAGTTGAAGCTAGGTGCTCGGAGTAAGAATTTGGGTTCCATATTTAATGGGCCTGGACCCGATGTAGTTCTAGATGGACTTTGGGCCTGTTCTTTCAAGTCTTTCACACCTGGGCAGCCTTACAAATGTAGAAATGACAAGAGGTAGCCACTTTTAAGCATGTTGTTTAAAATATATTCATAGTTTACAATGTATTTAAAGATTAGCCAATTCGCTCAAACTTCAGGATACGGCGTCCTGAAGTTTAAACCTCAAAGTTCAAACTTCAAGACATTGTGTTCTAAAGCTCGAAAATTGTGTCCAAAAATTCGAATCTTTTGTCTTGAATAGTAAATTAGCAGTTCATAAATTTAGGACACTTGGTCCTGAAAATTAAATTAATAGTTTAGAAATTCAAGACACTTAGTCCTGAATTTCAAATTAGCAGCTCAAAATTTTAGGATACTTAGCCCTGAAATTTGGACGAATTGACTAATCTTTAAAAATTTTGTAAATCGTGAATATATTTTAAATTGCAGTCTTGGAAGTGGCTACTGGTGCACTTTGCCAGTTACAAATAGGGTAATTTGCACAAATAGGATTATTCGTTGCCACCGTTCAGATTTTGACCCCGTTAAAAAAATCTTGAAAAAATAGCCTTCCTAATAGAACTTGGAAGCAGGCTCCTTCATAGTAGAATTTTGGTCAAAAATTCTAGTGATCACCATAACATGCTTATGTTGATCGCTAAAATTTCTGGTGCATCCGAGTAATCACCATAATATGCTTATGGTGGCCAAATCCTAACACAAGGGGGTTAATAAGCTGTTATATTCTTTAATAGGGCCAAAAAAAAAAAAACAGACACAGGGAAGGTCACTCCTGGCTAATTCTTGTTTCAAATAAGTTGGATTTAAGTTATAATTCTGTCAAATTCTTTAAGCATGTACTAATTTAACAATTTCTGCACCGAAAAACATATACTTTCATTAAATAACAAATTATTATTTGCGTAAGCAAAGTGGTAAAATTTGTTTGACCTTTTAATTCCAAAATTTGCAACAAAAAAATAAATATGAATTGCATTTCTAAGAACAATCAAAACTACTTGATGTAAGTTTGTCGGAATGTTATTAGGTAACTTAATTAAGATGAAAAAAGTGGTACAGTATGGAATTAACAAGTGAAAACTACAGAGAGAGGAAGGACTGACTTTTACATGAATTTCTATAGTTTCTAACAATTGTACTCATACAATAAGTAAAAGGTTTCATGCATGCATATGACTTTTCAAAAGCGAAATCAATAAATTAGAGGGTCTTCACTAGTAATTGCAACTAGTTCTATAACACTAATATTAGGGACACGGCCCCATATTTTTTATGCCCATAAACATGGGCGGGGCCACAGTGCCGGCTACGGGTTCGGCCGAACCTAATAGCTTTGATTCAAACCTTGTATTCATTTTTTTTAAAATTTATTAATTATGTATAAATATTAATTTAGAATCCAGTAACTAAAACGGATTAAAATCGTGAACCTATAAAGTTGAAATCATAACTCCGTCTCTGCCCATAAATATCATGAGAATAAGTGTATAATGCCAACTTCTGGAACAAGCTGCACATTTCCAACTTTTTGCATAATAATCTATAAGATTCTAAAAATAAGCCGTCTCAAGCAACGACTATAAATCTTCTTGGTGACTCTTTTTATCATAAAAAAATATATAGTGCTCCGGCAATTATTCTATGTTGAAGTATATTTGAGTTTAACATGTATAGCTGATAATGAAAAGTAAATTTATACTATCAAAATACTTAAAGATATTCTTTTCGTCTCAATTTGTGTGACGGTGTTTACTTAGGCCCGAAGTTTAAGATAAGTAGTTTCATATTAGACAGAAGTAATAAGAGTTGAAACCTATTAATAGTTATCGCGCTTTACCTGCTCGCTTTTACAGTTAAACATCTACTTCAATATGGATGCTTGTTGCCCAAAAACGCACACGCAAGTATACTCGGTCAATCAAGTAATAAAGAGTAAGTAGAGTATCGTTCCCACGAGAACTTATGATCAATCATCAATTAAATCGAGCAATTTCTAATTTATCCAGTCAAGAACAAGTTTCAAAGTGATTTTTGATTAATGGCTCTACTAACTAAAACTGCAAGCAAAAGAAGAAGTAATTAACTAGCACACTTAGCACGAATAATTTAATTCACTGAGAAATAATATTACATGATTATGGCTGGCTAACAATTCTGTTGAATTCTTAAATCGACTCGACTCATTATTTTATCTTGGTTATTAACCTGCAAGAACAATAATACTCGTAGAAATTTGACAACTTCTACTTGCCTATTCAATTTATTCTAAATCCTATATTTCTATGAGATTAGAGATATAAAGAACGTATTAACAATTTCTTGTACAATTGGCTAAGCACAGCAAATAGGTATATTTCTATATGTATTCGCAAATCAATTCCCCAATGACTAGGTTCAAGATCGCGCTCTATTCAATCCTCTTGCAATCAAGAATTACCTTTTTCAAGTTAAACTCAAGATTCATATATAGTATTTCATTGTTAGCTAGGCAGTAAAATAATTAAATTCAAAATATAAATAAACAACCCAATATGATAAATTAACTCGTCAAATCAATATTCGAATATCAACATTCGTGTAAAACCATAACTCCAGAACAGATGAGTTTAGCCACACATAGTCATGGTAGCAATCTCAAATAATTCCCACGAGTATATACAAATTAATAAAAGAAGAAAAAAGTAAGAACTCAATACGAATTATGTGGTTTCCAAACTATGTGATGGCTTTTATCCGCTTCTCCGTGTGTTAGATGACCAAAAATAGGCGTTTTTCGCTTATATATTGAGTACACAGGTCGTGGGTTAAAGTTTTCCTTTTCCTAATCCGATTCAGCTTCAGGGGTTGATGTTGGGGTGGATGCTTCGCATCTGCCTCAGCTTCAACCTCTCAACATCGCATGCTGGGGTGGATGATTCGCATCCACCCTATGTTCCTTCATCTCTGTTGTGCCCAAGTGCGGATGCTAAGGCAGATGTCTTAGCCCAACTTCACTGCTAAGGGTGCACCAAATATAATTTTTTTCTAGGTTGGATGCGACGCATCCACCATCTTCTCCTATAGCTGGAGCACATTTTCTTCATATTTTCACACTCCAAACACTTTAAATCATCACACACAACTCAATTAATCATAAAACTAATAATTAACACATGTTGGGTATTTTTAACATCAAATAGCACCAAAAAGTGGTTAAAATATGGGTAAAGTAATATTAAAACACATAGAAATATGCTCAACATCACCACCCCACACTTAAGCTTTTGTTCGTCCTCGAGCAAAGTAAAATCAACCTATAATGTATCGAACACAGTTAAGTTTATCAATATCAAGCCATACATTTCAATTAAGCTCAAGTATCCATGACTTTGGTTGATACCAACAATTAGCCCTTTGCATATGCATTCTTGGACTTTCCTCTCCATATTAAAATCATGCATAGCACGCTATTGAACAGTTCAAACCAATCAAATAGCAAATTCGGGACATCTCAACCTCAGAAACTGACTCCCTAGCATAACTACTTCCAGGCCAACTTACTCACTCTGACTGAAGAGCTTAATAAAGTCACCTATCCATTATGAAATAATGTGCACTCACCACAAATCAAAGAGAGATAGTCTACACACTCAAAAAAAAAAATCGAACGTAATTTAAGGACTTCAAACAATAGAGGAAATCACTCACTCTCTTAAAGAAGTTCACATGCGCACAAAAGGTGCCATATGCTTGCTCGTTATGTAAATCTCTACTAATGTAGGCCTGCTCAGTCTAAAATCAATTAGGACTTTATCTTGGTTATAATGTGGGCTAAGGGACGGGTAGGATATATTTAGGAATAGTGATTTATCCTCCTAAGCACTTTAACACATCACATAATAAACTCTAAGCGCACTTCTTCAATCCACTTCAATTTCACAAACAAGATCACTCCCCAAAATTATTCTCTCTTTCTTTAAGTACTACTTTAATTTGTACCCCACTAGCAAGAACAAGACATAATTTATTTATCTCTATTTTTCCTTCTTTCATTTTCTTTTTTTTTTTTTTTCAATTTTCGCTAGTGATGTATTATTTTACATAATAAGTGCACCTTTCTCCCTTTCATTGATTCCACAAATCCACCCATATCTCCTCATTACTTCTTTTAGCGCTCATTTCACAATTAAAGTACTCTAAGAGGTAAAAGGATCAAAAGTTTTAATTAAGAATAAAAGGATATAGGCTCGTAATGTGGGTTCCAAATAAAAGATCTAGAGGCTCAAAATGGCTAACTAGGGATGATTTTATTTGTGATAGCATTACAATTCAAAAAGGATCAAAGACAGCCTAAAATCATATTTCACACAGAGCAAAACCTAGGATTTCGCTTCAACTCACATGCAGGGCAAGTTCTAGACACAAATATACTACATGGAACTACACAAAAATCTCACCATACAATGGAACATGATTCAATTAGGATTGCTACATTTCAACTCTCAATCAAAGCAAGTACAAAGTTAAGCCACAGTTTTGATGCACAAAGCATAACAGTTAGCACAAAAGTCAAGAAAATGAGCTTAAGCGTCAAAAAAAAAATTATTCTACTTTTCAAGGCAAAAATGTTCTCAAGAACTCATGGAGAATGTTACAATCCATATGCTCAAGTCTAACTCCGTTGGTATCAAACAAGTCACTGAATATGCTGAATTTAGTCTAAGTCATTATATCCTACACTACTCTAAAAATAAAAACTAATATCCGGTTCAAAAGTTCACCCCTTGAAAAAGAACCGATGGCCAAAGAAAAACCAGGGGGATTATTGCAAAATAAGTTAAACTTACTAACTACTCAAAGCAACTAAAATGTTTTTGTGCTTTTATTTATTTTTTATCAATTTTCTAATACTAACACTAATTCC